TCACGTAAAGTTTAAGTACAGTTGACAATTCTTTAAATACCGTGAAACTCTTAACGTGTTACGAAGATGAGTGAACGTTCTCTAGAGACCGAAGAAGATAATAAGAATATCAAGTCTACTTCCCTAGTTTTATCGATCAAGATGTTTGCTGTTCGTATCGCCTTACTCTGTGCTAACATTGTCTGTCAAGCCCACATTGTTCCGAGTTTAAGCAATTAATTAGCGATGCGAATAATAAGAAAATTAATGAAAGTTGTCGCAACTTGTTGGTTTATGATTCGCTCCTATAATCCACTGCATAGAACAATGGCAATTTTGATTTTAATTGTTCGGCAGATTGATGTTATTAATGCGAAAAACGAAATATCTTATTTATTACTCTGTATTAACCACACCTGAGATTGTTGCAATTAATTTGTTATGGCTCGTTAGTGTTTGAAAGTTTAAAAAAATCTCTTATTGTTGCTAACGTGACATGTTTAATTCTAGAATTCGTGATTACACTGAAATTTCTAACACTGTTTGAATAAATATTATTGTAATCCAACGGGATACACGTAAATCGTTTCAAGCCTCTCCAAATCTCAGTAAATAGACTGTAAAAAGCTCTCACCTTTCTCTAAATTGATTCCACGCGATAGATCTTCGAAGATGATTTATCTCACTTTGTAGCTAAGTTACCGAGTGATTTTCTTTTTTCTACTATTAAAATTCACCCTTATGGAGAAGTCACACATGCGAAGTGGCAAGAGTTTATTCCAGGAAATATTTTCGGTATGGGGTTGCAGTGGTTAAATCCAGCTCATAAATCTTAAACTCATCTATGCCATATGCGACCCTTTAGATATATGGCAGGTATCACTTTCATAGACTGGCGTAAAGAGATAAACGATTGCCGACGATTGAAATAAGGGGATGTTTTTATGTCTTTAACTTGATTCGCCATTACTGGAAAGCGACTGTAGGAGTAGTAAAGTGCCGCTTTTTATTTTTGTAAAAAGGGAATCAGGATCCATTTTAATGGAGATTTCTTTGAAGATCTTTCAGTTGATGGTTATTTATATGTTAAAAACTGTGTAGGATAAAGCGTTTTGTGTTGCTTTCTAAAGCGCTTTAACGTGGTCATAAACTGGAATCTGCAATGTAATTGCAAGTGGTTTCTATTATGTATTGTTGTTATTTATGGCTTTGTTAATTTTTAAATCAGTTTTCAGTTCTAAATAATTTAAGTAATAAACAGGGTGTCTATAAATAAATGTTAATTCCATCTATTTTTGAAAATGTAAATTTGTTAAAGTTTTCCAGCTCGCTTTATTAACATGAAAAGTAATTTGACAGGTGACACTTTGATTATAATCGTAGTTTGACACAGTGGCAAAACTCAACGCCGAATTTTTCATGTAATAAATAATCATTTTTAAACACTCTAGCAATTTAATAAATGACATAATATACTTGTTTTTATTTTACTAACATTTCATGCATAGAGGTGAATAGTTCTTATTGTTTCCTCAATATTTACTTAGTAAAATTTTATTTTAGGTGGGACATAACAATTCATTTCTTCTTAAGATTTAAGAAACATATATTTTTTTATTTCGTTGTTGCACACAAAATTACGTCAACTTAATTAAGATTAGGTAGAACATTTATGTAAAGGAATAAAATATTCAACATTCAGATTGTTTGATAGTTTCTGATTTATTTTAACACACTGACGTCGGTTACTAAGATACCATAATGTAGTTTGTAGCAGTATAATGAAAATAATATTAATTTAGTTGTTTTCTCATTAGAATATCGTGGGAAACACAATCAAATGCATTACCGAAGTCCCAAACGGATTAGATTCAAGAGATTGAACAACATTATTGGCAAAATCTAGAATTGTTGATATAGTAGAACGACCTTTGCAAAATTCATGTTGGCACTTCGATAAGATATTGTTTATTTGTAAACAATCTAAGAACAGTTTCTGTAATATCTTGGATGAAAGGGGTAGAAGGGTAGATAGGAATGTTAGTAGGTTTTTGTAATAAATTTTATTAGTAGGACAGAAAAACAACTATCTTTGGCGTTCCTGTTACGTAGCATCTCTTACTTGAACGCAGTACAGTCGATTTTCAGTTGTTCGACTGTTTAGTTATTTGTCAAAAACCTATTGGATCAAAGGAGGACTCGAGCAACAATTTAGTCGATAATATGCGCACATAGAAACACACCATCATGCATACCTTTGTTTACCATAATCGATACAGGATCATGAATTGCAGTATGCAGCGTATTATGAATAGATTGTGCGATTAATAAAAAATGTTAATTAACATGATCAAGAATTGTATAATAATTATTTTGCCTATTGTTAGTTTTGTGATTATTGATAATAATGGTTCACGACGCTCTAGACTTATTTTTATTATAAAAAACATTTTTTTTTCCTGCATTCATTCTTCCTTTTCAAGTAGAAAACAATTTATACCGCGTTTTACAAGATTCAAGATGTACCTTATTTTTAATTCTGTAGTGCCATATAATGTATAACCTATATGCATTTTTGATCAGTTCTAAGCTTCCTCTCTTTTCATATAACTACATTTTTTTTAAATCTTCGAAATCACGTTTATGTATAACTACAAAAATAATTCTAAGGGCGTAGTAGGGCCTATATTGCCGATCTAAGTTTTATCGTAAATATTTTTGAGAATTCATAAATTGAAGCATTTTCGACAGGTGGCAAAAAAATTGTTTTAGATTTTTGAAATGGTGTAATTGTGTTTGTACATCTATTTCAATGATAATATATGCCTATATATGCAGGTGCTCAAAAAATGGCACACCAACTCATTGGTACATTTGACGTTCACTTACAAAAACAAAAGATCGATTTAGGTAGATGGATCAAAAAACATGAAAAATTAACCACCGTTGTTAGATTCACCCTCAATTTTTGAAGTGCTTCGTAATTTTATTTTAAAGCAACGATCGATAGAGACAAGATGATTTTGAATAATGAAAGTCCGATCGATTTAATGTATCCAGTAGTACGTTTTGAATTAAAATATGGTGAAATATCGAAAAAAGAAATTAAACTGAAGGGCTATGTATATCTTCTCCATTTGGGCCCAACAATTTCTTAAATTATTTTTTTTCTGGTCCATAAACAGTTCTTAACAACGTGTCAGAATTTGTGTCCCATTTTTTGAGCGTCCTGTATATCTTTATTTAAATAATTTCGACAATATTAAAATATTTTCAATTTCAGTTTTAAAAAGTTGGCATGTTTTAGCGTTTTTCTAAAATTGTTTTTTTATCGAATTTGTACCAAATCTTACGAACACATTGCGTGCTTTTATACCATAAATACACAAAGAAAGCAAGTTAATTTAATGCAACACTGAAGCACTTTGTGTTAAGTGAGTTCGCGTAAGTGCTGTATGTTGCACACTTCCAAAATCATTATCAGGTAAACTCATTATCTTCCTAATTATGCATTAAAATTCAAAGAGTCGTATAGTCAACAGGAAGGCAACAGGCACAACATTAAAATTATAATACTTTTTATTTTATTTTTGTCGGTATACATAGATAGCCGTTAATGTGACAAAACTACAATCACAAGCCTATTTCAAACAAAAGCTGCATATGCTATTCCGACGAATATAAATAATTAACACGTTATTCAATATCTGATTTCGATTTGTCGTTTCATAGTATTATTACTATAAGTGTAATTATTATGAAAGATAACAAGCGGAAAGTATAAATAGTTTTAGATTATTGAGCCAATTATTGGGAATACTAAATTGTGGAGCATGGAATTGAAACTTACGTTTAATTATTTTGATGATAATTTATCAGATGAATCTGTACTTTTAATTGCGAACTGTGCAGGTGTAAACTTTTTATTCTACTTGCACATTTTGTGAGTGACCACGCTAACAACACTTTGCAATTAGCGAGAATTTAACTAAAATAGTGCAGAGTACACATTGAAAACTTTGCAAGTTACGAATGTTGAATTGAAATAACGGAAAAGTAACGTAATGTGTAAGTTAAATGAACCTGATTCTAAATTAAACAGTTGAATGAAATGGTACGATTTTCCACAATATAGGTTTATTACATTTTTTTTGTACGTACGGTTGAAACCAATGGCTCCTTTAATAGGTCTCCCGTTTCCGTTTCTCTGTCTGTCAACTGTGTTGATTTTTATTAGATAGATAATAATCTGCGAAACTACTGGACTACTATGATAAAATCTTTTACTAAGCACCTCAAAATTTTGCATGGTAAATGCTATTTAAATTTTACAGATTTTGTTGTTTTTCCTCAAAAAAATTAAATTTGTATGATAACGTTTTGTAGTAATATTAGGAGAAAGTCCATGAGCTGTTATAGCAATTTATGTAAGCCAAAACTGACTTAAATGACCATCAAACATATGAAGATTAATTAACATCCAATAAGTACTTGATCTTTTGTGGATTGCATATAGTTTCTACTACATCTATGAATTTTTCTGTACTTTTCTAATTTAAATTTTTTCCCACCGAAATATATGCATCCATTATTTTAGCAAATTTAGGAGCGCCATAAAAGAAATACTATAACATAAGCGAAAGCAGTTATACTTTATTGATTGATTTATATGAAATGACACGTATTTTGGAGTTTCAGCATTAGAATAAAAGTAACATAAAAACCAGAAATGTATAGCACCTATACGTCTCCAGAATACAGATGAACTGACTTTACGGTTGCGGTTTTCATTCTGTATTTGTCATAAAGATTACTGGTTTATTTAGCGGCATTAAATCGTAGAGTTCCTTTCACAATACACCTAATCTTCCTGGAAAATACTGTCCACGACACATCGATTAACAGTACTCTCTTCTTTTTCTGAATCTAAATTTATCCGCAAACTGTTACTGACTTTGATGGAGCTTTTTTACAGCGGATTTTAAGCAAAACGCTTGAATGGACGTTTTGTTTTGTTTCAGAACACCTACACCAACGCCGATAAACTCCTCGCAGCCGCGGAAGAATTGGCTCACACCGGTGAATGCGACCCGGATGAAATCTATTCTGTCGCTCACGAGCTAGAAGCCCATGTTACATCTTTTGCCACGAGGGTCGAACAACGACGACGTCGATTAGACTTAGCAGTACTCTTCTACACCCACGAAAAAGAACTTGGCAATTGGGTCGACGACCTCAGACAAGAATTACAAAGTGATGAAAGCATCGCTGAAAGCTTAGAAGCCACCGAGAGGCTATTGGAACAGACGGCCCAACACAGAGATCAAAGCTTGGATGCTTGCGCCTCCACCATTGCCCAGGGAGAAGCTCTGCTTCAGGAACTGAGGTAAGTTGTTGTTTATTTTATTCCTAGATGTAAATAGTGCTTTTACGGTTATAGTAAATCGTAAATGGTACTTAAACAAATTGTTCAGGGACAAACAAACTAACATATATATGTGTATATGTATATACACGTACGTATATAAATGTATTTGCATAGACTCATGTTTATGAAATTTTGCACGTAAATGCCACACGATTTTTTTAAGTTCTTATGTCCGGTTAGTGTAACTGTCCTGTATTTCCGGCTGTGTTACTTCCATTTTAAAAGCAGTAATTAAAAGTCACCATATTGGTTTCACAGTAACCCAGTGAAACTACACTACAGTAAAACTTAATTAATCATTTAAAGACAAACAATAAAGTAAAAAATAGATACAAGGTACTCACATTAAGTATTCAGCACATTAAACTGCAAGAAAAATTGCTTATATTTTAGGTATTAAACAAATCTGAGGTCTTGCTTGCGTGTTAACTTTAATGGGATAGAAAGCAGAAAATTTTGTCAAACCTTTTCAATAGGGAACTTTTCCCCTTTTTTAAGATTCAAGAGTAGTAATTAACAAATCTTCGTCAGTATTTTTAGTTAAGAAATACGAGTTGACTTATTTTATAATTATAGTCATTACAATCTAAAAATTATATGTACAACATAAATTGTGTACTCGTACAGTCAGAATAGCAAACTTCAGAATGGCGGGATAGTCCTAATTAGAAAATGTGATTTCTAACTCCGAACCAACCGTCAGCTGATTTGGTTAGATACATACATGAGTGTCAGTTCGGCGAATTGACAGGCAAGTTTGTTGAATTTAAATTGCATCATTATAACTGCTCGTTTTAAAAAAAGTGTTTATAACAACGGAAAGCACGGAGAATTTAATAGTGTTGCAGATGCCAATAATTACGCTCTATATTATAATAATTGTAATTTTTTTTGCCTAGAATTAACTTAGTCAATGTGCACATGGTATAATCGAATCGAGGGAGGGATCATTTTCGGAGTTATGATACTTTTTGGAAAATGTTAAAAAATCGAAATTAAAAACCTTTCTGTATGAAGTTCTCATCTTGTTAAATACGAAAACGCAAGTTGCTCATTAACATCTGTAATTTTTTTGCTGAAGTCGTAATCAAAACTACCAAATAGAGTATTTCGGAAGCTTAACTATACCTTAGAATAATTATCGTGATGATGATATTCCAAATATTGTACACGTATCAATTTCACTTTAAACGTGCAACATTTGACTCCTAATATATTCGTCGAAGTTTATTTTTTAACGTTTATATACCGCTCGTCGTATAAAAAGTAAGCTGGGATCATTAATTTGGAGTTTACACAGCTTTATCAAACATTTTTTATTCATACTCTGCAGGAAGCTAATGAGATCATCTCAAAATATTGGTTAATAAATCTGGCTTGAAATGTGCAGTGTGACATTGTTTTTTTTTTACGCAAAGCACTGTTTAGCCACTTGGTAGCTAAAGCAGATATTGCAATTGCTATTTTGACGAATATTTATTTTCATGTTCACTTGGAATTCAGTCAGCCGAATTTTGAAATTTTAGATGTATATGTATTGTTAACATTTTTGTGTGGATAATACGCTTACAAAAAATTGACAGAATTTCCCTCGCTATTGAAGTATAATCCGACAAATTAAAGTAAAAACTAGCTACATAAATAACACCCCCGCATCCCCTTCGCCAACAATTTGCGCTTCCAAGTATGGACAATGTAAAATAAAAATAAAATAATAAAAAAAACGTGCGTATTCTCACATTTTCGAGAAAATGAGGTGACTCACGATATTTTAGATAAAATTTATGCGTAAAAATTTTCATCAATTTTTCAGGTATGAAAACGGATAAAATTTGATTGTAGATTTGCCATACTTACGATGACCTTAAAACATTTGCAAGATTTCAGAGCATTCGAGTTTGCAGTTTCAAAATTAAATTGTAAAGTGTTGTTATTCACTTTTGATTTAGTCTCGGGTAAAAAATTAAGGCGGACTCATAAACCACAAGTATTTGAGTATGTTATTTTATAAAATTTAAATACCATTTATGTTAAATTTTGAGATGATATGATCACATTGTTGATGGAGATAATCAGATAAATTTTAGTTAGCGTTTTCCCACCACACGATATTCTTAAAATAATACAAAATTTGACAACAATCGGTCCAGTAGCTTCGGAGATTATAGTCTAGTCTAATAAAAACTGACACAAACACACGACAGACAGACGAAGACGGGAGATCTATTTTTTCACACTCTAGGGATCATGAAACGTTCAGAAACCATGATAGTAGCCATTTACCAGATAGACCCTAGTGTTTACATAAATGTGGTCAAATTAAGTTGCTAAGTTTGTTCGCACCGTAACGTAAACTCTAGTGTACGCATCAATATTTATTAATGTCATTCCCATCACAAAGTTGATTGATTTATTGAAGGAAAATATGTTGAAAAATACACCCTGAGGTGCATACAGTTATTAATTATACTTCAGAGACGGGGGAAGCTGATGTAGATATGTTTGATGATGATGTAGATTTTTTAATGTAAATGAAATTGTTTTGGTTGTCAATATGTCTTAATCGTGAAATGACAATATTGTACTATTATTTTAATTGTTTTGTTATTTAAAAGAAGAATGAACTCCCACATAACTAGAATTAATTATTATAAGAATAGACTATTCCTAGACGGTATATGTTCGTAGGTTTCCGCTTTTGGCAATCATTTTTTAGAATTTTATTGGTATTTGAATTAATTCTTTAAGGACAGAGCAAGGATGTCTTTGTGACAGAGCTAACCCTTCAATGGTACTACTAAAAACCCAATTCCTATGCAAAATATATGATCTACCTTTTTTCTTTAATTTGTATGTTGTAATAAATTATATTATTCTGTTATTGGATAAGAAAAAAAATTAAAAATTTTGCTGTTCTATAAAATTCTAGAAGTTAAAAAATGTTCAATATCCACTTAGTTTCCCCTCAGAAGTTTACCTTTTTTCTGTGTGTTTTTATTTATTTATTTTTTGAAGCCCTGTTTTATAAAGATATATAATTACTAATTCGAAAAGCTGGACAACACAACGAAGAATTATAGATTGCAGTTTCGACTTTCTTTGGTCTTATCGTTTATCAATACAACACATTTGAGTGTGTCTTAGCATGAGGGAATATAAACCCTCGTTTCCAGTCACATATTATAATTGTAATTTTGACAGCTGTTACTACTAGAAGCGTTCCGAATCGAATTAAACTTACGGATTTATACTTAATAAATTATCTGCCTTCTTACTGCCCATTCACAATGGACATAAGGCATAACAAGTACATAAAGCTTACATAAATACATAAAGTTGAAACGATGGAAAACGTGTACCCCTGTTCACAGTGGACGAACGTAATTCTTATGCTTATGAACGTTTTATGTAATCCTTGTGTGCGTACACAAAATTGAAACAAGTTCAACTTTGTGCACGAATTATGTCAAAATTATGTTAAAATCTAGGGACTTTTGAATGCTGCTATTGAATTCCCTTTGACAGTTGGCACTTGGCACTTCACACCTTTGATTATAGATATTATATAAATTATAATCAAAGCTTCACACTGCGAGCACAGAACAGCTGCGAGTCTGTTCTGTACTGCGAGTTGTCAAGTTCGAATATCGTATGAAATTGTAGGTTAGATATTTTGATTGACTCAGTTTGAGGTTAGCCGTTTCTATGTTTAGCCAGGAGTTATTCCGTTCTGCGTTTGCGCAGTTTAACAATTCTTACAGAGTTCACTCTGTCCACTGTGAACGTAGATAAGCATAAGCCAGACACAGACCAAAAACGTAAATTATGCGCTCGTTCTTATGTCTTATGTCCATTGTGAATGGGCAGTTATACTGAATAAATTTGTGCAAGCTCCATGCTTTCTACGTATAAGTGGGCCAATAAGAAAAATACATCGTAAGCATGCGCACTGCTCTGCTGTGAGTGTTCCACGGGTTACATGGAGGTGACGCTGAAATAGGAATTTCGTGTAAAATAATAATATTCAATTATATACAAAAACGATAAAATCCTAGGTTAAGTAACAACCGGTCCTAACAATCTGTATAGCAAGCTGTCAGAGGCATCGTTTTTGGCTAGAAATGTAACGTTTCGATTGGTTCTCAACAGTTTCTTAATGTTCTGTCGGGAACGCAAATTAAACTCGGAATGGTTAACTGCCCATTCACAATGGACATAAGGCATAACAAGTACATAAAGCTTACATAAATACGTAAAGTTGAAACGATGGAAAACGTGTACCCCTGTTCACAGTGGACGAACGTAATTCTTATGCTTATGAACGTTTTATGTAATCCTTGTGTGCGTACACAAAGTTGAAATAAGTTCAACTTTGTGCACGAATTATGTCAAAATTATGTTAAAATCTAGGGACTTTTGAATGCTGCTATTGAATTCCCTTTGACAGTTGGCACTTCACACCTTTGATAATATTATACATATAAATTATAATCAAAGCTTCTCACTGCGAGTGTGTTCTGTACTGCGAGTTGTCAAGTTCGAATATCGTATGAAATTGTAGGTTAGATATTTTGATTGACTCAGTTTGAGGTTAGCCGTTTCTATGTTTAGCCGGGAGTTATTCCGTTCTGCGTTTGCGCAGTTTAACAATTCTTACAAAGTTCACTCTGTCCACTGTGAACGTAGATAAGCATAAGCCAGACACAAACCAAAAACGTAAATTATGTTATGCGCTCGTTTTTATGTCTTATGTCCATTGTGAATGGGCAGTAAGTATAATTTCTTAAGCTCTTATTCTTAAGTATAATTTCATAATTTATTGGAAAGATAGCCTAAGAAAATTGTAAGTTATGTCGTATTGTGAGGTCTTTATTTTGCCATAAAGACTTTAAATAATTGAATATGTTGAAACTTATTGAATGACAATAAATAATAAAATTATTTTACCGTCGTTAAAA